GACCAGTCTGGTACCAATTTACCGACACCGCATGGACGGATGGCTGGGTGAGCCATGAGCGCGAGATCGAACCATTGACCTCGTGTGCGACGCAGGAGCACCTCTAACCACTGCGCCACATGCGCTCCTTTAACTGCCACAGCGCACGAAAAAGGCCTTTGAACATATGAAATGTAGCATAACAGTCGTCAAAATTTGAGCTATGCAATGATGCAATGACTTCTGATGCTCTAAAAAAAGCATAAAGAAGTTGTTCCTAAAAAGATTCGGAGAGATAACGGAGAAATACCGATTATTCTCTATTTCGAAAAGAAAAAATGCAGGATTTCCCACGCTAATTTGATGGCCCATGTCTTTCTACCCACGTTTCTGGAACATCGCGAACTTTTCACGCATATTTTACTGCGAGTGCGTAACGTAGTCTCCTTCGTAGCTAGAGCGCACCAAGAGGGAGATATCACTGCTTACACTTAGAACCGTCCTTTTCTCCGCTATCGAATGACTACTAAAAGTCAAGCGAAAAGCCAAGCATGGACGAAATCTGAGCATAAAACGCGAACTGAGAGAGAGACATGATTTTCTCCTCACTGCTACAGCGCACTGAGAAAGCCGGTTCTTTGTGCTTGTAAGGCGACAAATGAAAAACCGGCCTCATTCGTTGGAGAGTAACTTTACATAAGAGTGTTAGTAACTATTAGAAAGCTGAGACTTCAGGCTACAGCACCAGTCTCCGATTTTCCAAAACACCCTTTTATAACGCTGTAAAAACCACACAAAACTACGTCCCAGACGCGCATATGTCGCACCAGATAGAGCTCTTTGTTTGGCTTAGCAGTGATCATTCGATAATGTGATCGCTACTGATGCCTACGCTAAGCTTATAACCTGAAAATACCGCTGCTCTGAATTCTCATCTACCACCAAGGGGGTCTTTGGCCGATTCACGTGCGGCTGGCTCGGGCGACCACGTGTGCTGGCGTGATGATCGATATACCCTGCACAGGTCTTATGACATCGTGCCAGCGCACGTGGTTGCCTCAGCCAGTCGCATGTGAATTGGCCAAAGACCTCCTCGATCGCAGATGGACATGCGACTTATTTTACTCGTTGCGTTCTCAGAGCAACGGCCATTTCAGGATGTATGCATAGCGTTGGAATCAGAAGCGACCACATTATCGAATGATCTCTTCTAAGCCAAAGAAAGAGCTCTGTCTGGCGCGATGTATGCGCGTCTGGGACATAGTTCTGTGTGGATTTCACAGCGTTACAAAAGGGTGTTTTGGAAAATCGGAGATGTGGTGCTGTAGCCTGAAGTCTCAGCTTTCGAATGCTTACTAACACTCTTATGAAAAGTTTCCTCCTCCAGCGAATGAGGCTGGCTTTTCATCTGTTCTCATTCGAACCAGAGAGTACCAGAAGAACCTTGATTATTGGAGTTGTCGTTACACGAGCTATCGAACGATCACTGAAAATTTAGTAAAGAAATCTCTCTCCAACAGTAAAAAAATCTTCAAACACGCGCTTACACTATCAGTATAACGCCGACCCGTACGGGTTTGCTAACACTATAATAGAAAGTTCAATTTGGGAAATATGATTCTTAATCTCACGTCTAATGACACCATAACATCAGAAACTATCACTACTATATTCAATGTGAAACCCACCTTAAGTCGACCCACAGGGTCATCAGACCCGCCAGCGTCGGCGCTCTGTCGAGGGTTTACGGCAGAATGAGATGCCATGACGACGCTGATCTATAAAATTCCAGCAGATTTTCCGAACTCTTGAGAACTTTTCTATCATACAAACAGATTTGACCAGTGTCTTTCAGAGTGTAGGCGTGCACTGACGGTGAAATTCCCCATACGGGTTCTACTATCAAAATATAGGAACACATCCAGTGATGTAATGTGATGTGCAAAACGTTCGCGTCAGGTGGGACTCGAACCTGCATATCACTCTGTCCGGAGAGCGCGTGCTCTAACTCATTGCTCTACTGACGTCCTGCTTCGCCACCACTCTTTCCATGCTATACGGATATACTCCAGCCCTCTGAGGTGCACCATACATAGGCAGGCGGTCGTCGCGCAGCATCTGCATGTCTCTGCACGCGTATCTGGCTCTCTCCCTGCCTTCCCACGAGACGCGACACCGCTATGGTAGCCGAGCGAGGCTTAAGGTCGCGTGGCATGGTACGGAACGTACCATATGGTCCTCAGATGGCTAAGTAATATATGAAGGAAAAGAAGTCGATTCCTTTTCTCTCACGCCCTAAAAAACCTATAAGTCCAGCTCGAGAAGAAAACACTGGCTCACTGAGCATTGCAAGACCGAACAACCATGAGAACAACCCTGGGGAACGAACACGATTCGAAACCTAGGGCGGCTTCGAACCCGCATCAACCCTTTACGAGATTTCGCATGTTATCCTCCAAATCATTGAAAGTCTGACTTCCGTGGACCCACGCTGGGAGTGGACGCGGTTCAGTGCATAACGTAGCTGCGGGTCTTGTAATGAAAAGTAGTATTGAAGTCGGCGACTAATCGGAGCAGAGAAGGTGGACTCATTCTTCCCACGCTGGCGAACACGCCCAGCGTGGGTCCGCAGAAGTCAGCAGTTAAAGCCTCAGTTCTGCTTTTTTCAGGCAACAGATCGACTAGATTGATGTGAGAGGAGCGCTAATCTTCTTGGGACGTATTTCCCGGACTCTCTCGTCCGGGGAAGCTTCTCACTCAACACTCTTCGACTTTCTACCTAAAGACAGACCAGTTATAATCACAAGATTGCTGAGACTGAACATAACTCGAAGCTGATATACGGCTAGAGAGGGGTTCGAACCCCGACTATACCTTGCCAGAGCAGCGCACGTACTTCCTATGCCAACAGGGCACTAGCATAAAGTAATCAGTCCAAGATGACAGATTAAGAAAAAAAAGGAATGAATCTTATATGGTGGACGGCGAGAAATTTTTGAAGCCAAGCTCATTCGCTGGACAGAATCTATTCATAAGATTGTTAGTGATCATTCGAAAGCCTGAATCTCCACCTACAACTCCACGTCGCCGACTTTTCAAGATACCCTTTTATAACGCTATAGCATCCAGAATAAAACTTCGTTTCACACTCTCCTTTCGCCCTCATTTTCGTCATCCGTGTATATTCGCTGGAGACACGAAAAGCATATCAGCGAGTGGAGAATTTTCCGTAGTCGTCAGAATCATACGTTTTTATCTGCGGTTCCTGCCGATGCGGTGGAAAAATCCTCAGTTGAATAACAGTGTCTCATACGCGATCGATCGCCCCGCCCCTGGCCCGGTGAGTCGGCCGGTAAACAAGGTCGCCGAGGGGGGCGGGGGGGTTCACGGCTGAGTAAATTGTGAAGCGAAGCCAGAGCATCTTGCTAGTACGGTAGTCGCCTGATCTACCGCGTAGCGCGACGGTTAAAACGGTGGCAACCACGGTTATTTTATTGAGGATTTCTTCACCGCATCGACATGAAACTCTCGGTCGAAACGCATGATTCTGATACTACGGAAAATTCTCTACACGCTGATATGCTTTTCGTGCTTCCAGCGACTTCTACTCGAGTTAAAAATGAAGGCAAAAGGCGAGTGTGAAACACGATTTTATTTCGGATCCTACAGCGTTATAAAAGGGTGTTTTGAAAAACCCGCGACGTGACGTCATAGCCAGAGATCAAAGCTTTCGAATGGTCACCAAAACTCCCAAGAAAATCCTTGTCCAGCGAAGGAGATCGGCTTGATAACCAAAGAATTTGATTAGACGTAGAGAAAGACAGAGGGCGACTGGAAGAGGAGCACCTACAACCGCCTCGACTGATATAACGTCGAGAACTTCTTTTGTCTTACTGTAGCCCGATTTTAGTTCCTTATTGCGTCATACGACGCGAAATTACGGACAGCACGAGGTACTGGCGTTTGTGTGAGCACTCGTGTGCTCCTCGTCCTCTCGGCTCGGCCCAGCTCGGCTCGGCCAGTCGGCTCGCCAGCTCGGCTCGGCGGTTTGTGATCACCCCCGAGGTAGGTCAATTTTCTTTATTTTTGTTCCAGGCTTTGATAACAGTCAGGGTCGTGGTAGCGCAGTGGTTAGTGTTGTAGTGTGTCAAGAAAACTGGGTAGTGATCAAGGCGCTGGTTCGATCCCCTTCCCAAGCACTCTTTCGTAATTGTTCTGCTGAACGCCCTAGGGAAATCCTTGGCTCAGCTAGTCCCAAGATTGCAGGAGGATTCGTCTCGATCAGCATTCCGCGGTTTCTTGGGGTTTTTTTCTTTCACAGAGGAGACGAAGTTCCTACGCAACGGCCGAAGCAGCTCATAAAATCTTCGGAAACTTTTCATGAGGGTGAATGCGACGAAACGAGTCAAATCCTGGTAATGCTGAGGTCTGGACGGCAAAATTTTTGATAAAAAGTCGTGCTGAATTAATAGAAATTAATTTATTTGCATAAGTAATGAATAAACAAGATGATTATGACGGTAGCCAATCGTAAAAAGGTGACCTACCCAAGTTTTGGTGTAATTTTATTAGGGTTAAACTGTAACAAACCCATGGGATGACTGTCATGACCCAAATATCTCACGGACCTTGCACGAGGTTTGCTATATTGCCTTCAGAATCAGTGGCTCACGTCGCGACGCTTTGGCCTTCCTCAGAGCCCTTTTGTCAGCTATAACCCTTACGGAACCGTGGACCCAGTCCGCGCCTCTGACCCCCAGCGTGGCAACGCTATACGGTGTGCTCCATATCCTCAGCATCGCTAACCCCAGCAAGCTCTTGTTAGACGCAGCGTGCTAGGAGTTAGGGACACAGGGGAGCTGGAGCAGGCCGTCAGGGTTGCCAGTTAGAGGTGGTAAGGCCGTCGGTCAACGGTTCCGAAAGTTTCAAAAATCAATCGGTAATTACCTCATTTGACCGCAGATTGCGGTGTTATGATGTTTCGAATAAACCCAATTATGTAAAGTGGTTGCAAAAACGTTTGCGTCAGCACGGATTTGAACCCGGATCTTACTCTTTCCGAGGGCATGTGCTAAACCGTTGCACCACCGACGCTCGTTTTGCACTCCACTCTTTCTACGCTACAACGCGTTATATGTAACAGACCTATATGTACCTGTATCTGTCTGTATCTAACAGATAACGCTTTGTAGCGTAGAAAGAGTGGAGTGCAAAACGAGCGTCGGTGGTGCAACGGTTTAGCACATGCTCCCGGAAAGAGTAAGATCTGGGTTCAAATCCCGGCTGACGCACACGTTTTTGCACACCACTCTACATCAGTTCCGAAAGTATTGATATCTTGAAACTCGTAGAAGAATGCTCAGGACTCAAAAGTATGCCTAAAATCGGCAAAACGGCTCTGAATAAGACGAAGTGGCCAAAATGATGGCCATTAACTCTGGATATCATGTGCCAACTCGTGCGCGCGTCAAACAGCTGCCTCCGTAAAGAGTGACGCGAGTTCAACTCCTACCCAAGGTCCTAAGTTTCTGTATCTCACACAGATATGATCAAAGCTATGTATTGTTTTTGTTAAGAGCTGTCCGATCCCGCTTCGTCACCTCTGTCTCAGAAATGCTGATGGCGCTATCTAATGGATTATTCTCATCGAAAGTCGATTAAAATGGCTGAAAGGAGAGAAGATCCAGGAACTGAAAAGCAGCGCGGAGGCGCACTTCATCGCCCCGCTGGACCAGAAAATAGCCAAAGTAAGGTGCTTATATTTGATCTTTCAAAGTAGTCGCTTCAGAAATTTGGATGAGCTTGTAAAAACTTAGTTTCTGCTTTCCAGATGAGCCGCTAAAGTCGCAATTTGGAGTGGATTCGGTGGAAATAAGGAAGACAGTGGAAGGAAAACGACCCACGCCGCGGTCTCCTACACGAAATCGTTGTTGTTCTTCATTGAAGGGACCATGAAAACTCCCCTTTGAATCCAGAAAAATGTAAACTAGATCGCTCTGTCATTGTCGAAATACTGAAGTTGTATGTTGACTTGGTGAAGAGTCAGTTGAAAACGTTGAGATCACTGAGATCCAAGTGACTCGTAGCGCGAAAATCATCGTATTTGAACGGTGATTTCCTTTTTTTTGCATCGAGAAGTAGCCTGTTGTTGAGAATTGTATGAGGCCTTAGGCCACTGATCACATGAAGTTGTCATTTGCCATTGTTGCGGCGTTTTGCTGATCTTGGAATAGACGGTATAAATGTGTTCAAACAGTATTCTTTACTCGGAGGAGCATAGTAGTAATGTAAAGTCAGGCTTGGAAGGCTACCTTTATGTGTTACGATCGACGTCAATGAATAAATGATCGAGAAAATCCGGACGAAATGGTGGATTTTAGTTATTTGGTGTCAAACAGGTAGATATGGTTGGTTGGAAACGACGGGAAATTAGTGCGAACTCCATTGTTATTTAGTCATTGACGTTGAAAGAACACATGAATGGTAGAGAATGCATGGACGAAATTGATTGAAAACGAAGTCTATGAGTCGTAAGGAGTATGATTTTCATGATTTTAGAAGCACCAGTTCATTGACAATCGCGATCGGCTCATGTCCTCGTCTGACTATTCTTCTTCGGGCGACGATGAGAAGCCGAAGGTAAGCTTTAGATGTCTTTTCTTCAGTAAATGCCTGAGCTTTCAGGTAAATGAAAAAGCCAGTAGAGAGACTTCCCTCGCCCGTTTGAAAGGGACTGGTAAGCTACCTGTGAAATCCCAGCCCTCCCACATGTTGATAGCTCAGTCAGCAGTCTCCTTCCTGTCCCTCTGGAAGGGCTATACGTTGCGTTTGAATGGCTACACCCATCAGAGAAAATAAGCCTCATTCAGTTAAGCAACTCTTCAGGTAAATGTGTCTCTTTCAGGATTCCGACGATTCGGGGGTTTCCACGAAGAAGCATAGGAAGCGCCCAACTCGTAATACAAGTAATAAGGCGATCATCGAAAGTGCCGGTGAGTTCTCCGTTCTGTCACTATGTCCAATTCCCTGGTTTTTTCTCAGAGACATACTTTTTCGTGCTTTCATCCTTAATGTTCTCGTGAAGCTGTTGTCTTGTAGGGTCTTCTGACTCGGAAAACTCAGACTCGGATTGTGGCTCGGCAAATGACGGTGGTCGTGCTGCCAATAATCGAAAAAGGAGAGGATCTTCGATCAAGAGAGGCAGCACCTCTAACTATGCAAAGAAAAAGAGAGCTGTCAGCGAAGAAAGCGATCGCGTGAGTAACAGAATCCATTCCTTTTCGATTTCTTCTGTTCTTTCATTGCGATTTTCCAGGGAGAGATGGACGATGATCTTTTTGCCGATGAGGAAGATAGAAGACAGGTAATGGCTATGAATGAGAAGGACAGAGAACAGGAAATATTCAATCGCATGGAACAGCAAGAAATGAGACGAACGAGGTACTTTTGCAAATCAGCTGCTTGTTCAGCTTTTATTATTGATATAACTGATCCAAGAACAATCTTAGCATCTATTACGATACAGTACTGGATTGACAAGAAATTTCCCGAGCTCTTTTTTCATATATTTAAGTTGTTGTTTTTACTATCGTTTAGAGCAACTTCTTGTAAGTACTTTGATATATAACACATATATTTGATTCAGGATGGAATCGTTCTCAGAGCAAAAGCGATTGTTCATGCCACACGAGTATCTCTGGGTTCAAGTGCTGCTTTGGCACGCAGCGGTACTTGTGTAGCATCAACAGTCGTTTTGCTTTCAGAACAATTTCTTTAAACAAATTTATAAGTATATCACCTGTATCACCTGTCGTCCCGTTGATCGTCGAGTGACTCGAGCGGGTACCAGCAACTCTTCCATTTTTCCCTATCGCGTGCAAGAGTAGCCCAGTGGGTCCTCCTCGCTCTAGGGATTCGCTGAGCATCATATCTTTCTTCTATCGCTTTCGTGAAGGAAATCGGACCAACGGGTCAGTGGTCTTCCTTTAGAGCGCTTGACGTCCCGAGGAATCCAGTCGGTAACGGCTCTCGTCCATCGGTTGTCGTTGAAGCGCATCACCTGTCCGGCCCACCTTATTTTCGATATCCTGGCATATATATATATGTATATATATATATATATATATGTATATATATACGTATATGTAAGTATATATGTATATATATATATATATATATATATATCAAAATGATCGCAAGAAACTGCTCTGAGCAATCGTAAGAACGAAAAGTTAAATGCTTGATAAATAAGCGACAAAATCTAGAAAATTCCTTACCAACCCAGTATCTTAGTGCCCTCTTCATTTCAAATGGTGTGATTGTGCTATTTATCACACTAAAGGCCGACTTTTCTTAAACCTCATCATAAGTAATTGATACTTGTAAATCGCAAAGACTTATCTTGATTAGCTGACACGAGGTTGTTAATGATAGCAGTAGTGACAGTAATACCAGTAGTGATTCGATGGCTGATGTATAGGCGACACTTCTTCTCCAAAGCTCGGACGTACATGTTAGATTATTTGATGATCCAGAGGATCCTTCATATGCCGCCTAGGTCAGGCCAAGAGATCAAACGATGAAAAGGCGCAAGGTCTCGCGTGGTAGTGGCACTGTCGTTTTTCCGGTTAATTTTTCAATTTTTTAACCACGTAACGAAAGCAACAACGCTTGAAACTACTGAAGCGTGTTGCATAATACGATAAAAATGGAAACAAACCGGATCGAGAAATGTGTCACTTTTGCGCGGTACTTCGCGCCTTTTCTTCGTTTGATCTTTTGACCTGATCTAGGCGGTATATGAAGGATCCTTCGAGTCATTCAAATATCCTCACATAATGTACGTTGGGCCACTGAGGAAGACGAGTCGCCGAAACGTCAGCCATTGAACTGTTATTGTTTCTGCCACTACTGATATCATTACCAATCTCGCTTCAGCCAGTTAAGGTAAGTCTCTACTATTAACATCAATTTACCATTGTTGTATATCATCGGGTATCTGGGACCTAGTGGTTAGACGTATCTGCGACACACACATGGTCCGAAGTTCGATACGAGTTCTAGGCTCACCAAACCTTCCATCTCTCTGGAGTTAGCGAATGATATCAGACTTATCTAAGAGGATAACAGCGCTGAATCGAATAGTCGGTAGGCCACCGCGAGTCATTATAAAGGTCAGATGTGTAATCAATCACCTCTAGCAATGTTTGATGAAGTCGAAAAATGGCGAAATCATCAGGATTCATATATACCGAAACCTATTTTATTTATAGTTTACTATCTAACATCACCATTCATCCTTACTTAGTACTCTTTTTTCACTAGGAAACAAATCGAAGAAAAACTAGCAGCAGCAAAAAATGCCTCGGCTACAGGAGTTGATAAGAAAGAGAAGAAAGAAAAACGTCGTCGTGAAGAAAGAAAACGTATCAATGAGAGTGATAGTGATGATGGTTTGTTACTTAGTTTCTTAGTTTTACTCCTAGGCAGTTATTTGGAAACTTAAACATCTATGTTGCCGAGCGACATGCCAGACTTGCGACCCAGGCAGGAGCTGAACCGGCGTTCTACCCATATGGGTGAAACGCAGGCTCAACTCCCGCCTGAGGTCGAAGATTTTGAAATTACTCGACAACCTCGGATGTGATATTGTAATATCATAGCGAAGCTAAAAAAACAGTAGGATAAACGAGTTCCATAGATCGTTTCGGCAGTTCTGCTTCATTGTCTTTTAATTGTAATTGAAAGTGGTATTCAGGTAAGCTCTCGTCGTCCCGCCAGCACCTTTCAGCTACAAAATCTAAGCCTGTGACGGGATCAGACTCTGAATCAGAAGCAGATATGGCGTTTCACCGCCCTTCAGAAGTTCATAAAAAAGCAACACAGAAGAATGCGATGGCAGATTTACTCGCCAAGCGAAAGGATAAGGAAAACAAAGCTGGTAAGTTTCCTTGTTGTCAGGCTGTTCTGTGCATATTTCTTCTTTGTTGCAGCCAAAAAAGCTGCTTTATCTATCGACGCTGTCTTTGGGAAAGATCAGAGCGATGGTTCGTCTTCATCGTCTTCATCATCAACTTCATCAGCTTCGTCTCGTT